AGATTTTTTTCCTCCCTTGACCTTTGTTTATTCCGAATATGGTTGTCATACTCTTGTTGCAGTTTTTTTTCCAAACTTCTTTCTTGTAAAGAATTAACAGTTGACGGTTTCTGAAAGCAAAATCTCAGTTTTTGCATTTAAAAATGGGAATATCGATGAAAATACCGATTAATGTTTTTTTTTACTTATTTAGTTTAAATTTTTGCGTACGGCTATGACAATTTTCATTATTTTCCATTTAATTTAGATTACACTGGTATAATAGCAGATTTATATGGCTTACCTCTATAATATATAAGTATTGACAAGAACTGTTATATTACTCTTATTTTATTGCAAATAATTTTCAGCTGACTGTTCCTAAAAAAACAAAAAATCAACATTTCTGGCAGTAATCAAGCAACTTCTGTCAGTGTTGTCTGACCCTATATTTTTCTAAACAGAGTTAAAACCAAAAAATTTTACAGGTGATATAAAATAAAAAGTGAGGTCAGTTAATGCCGAGATGCATGATTTTATCCTTAAATGAATAACAATAAAAAGCTTACCTGAGTACTATTATTAATATTTGATAGCATCGCAATTATCTTCTGTCCTCTAGATAACATTATTACCTTTAAAATTATTCAAAAATAGCAAAAAGTAAATAATATAAACAAACCACGACACTTTGTAACATGATACTTGATATTTTATTTATTTGTTATAGTGTGTTTAAGCTCTATTGACTTTGGGCGTGAGTCAGGTCATTAAATAACTCGAATTACCTTGAAAAAGAAGTTGGGCACCACTATATTTAAAACTTACTACACTTGAGTTTAGATTAGTGATAAAAATATAGAAAATCACTAAGCACTAACAAATTATATTTAAACGAAGTTTTAGATAAGGTAGTAACAAATTCTAATTCACATAGTTTTACTTAATTCAAATTTAAGATGATTTATTTAAAAGCACACTTATCTCTTGTACAGGAGGTAGTAATATAAGGAATGTGATTTGTATGGTATGCTTCAGGACTTTTTTAAAGGGAGTCGGGATCCTTATTTTTAATTCAGGACTTGAATGATATTGAGAAATTTGGTATTCTAACTTAACTCGAAACGTGTCGATCTTCTATAGTTGAACCAAACCACGGTCTTCAGATTGCACCAAACTCTTAGGTATAAATACCATAAAACTTCTATATATAAATTCACATAAACCGTCTAGATATAGCCAATGCTAAAAAGAAAAGTTTAAAATGATAAGAGAGGAAATTGGAAATTGGAACAGGATTTAGATAAAATGCTTTTAACTAATAAATGAACAATTTAAAACTATTAAGTGAATAATTTCACAGAGACTAAAATTAATACGAAAAGGAAAAATCTTATTTAACATATTTAAACATAGTAAAGCATAATATCTTATTCCAAAAAAAAATTATACAGTGCGTCCATAAAGTAACGCATAAATTCATTATTGGCTAAATGAACAATAAAATTAGGAATTCCCAAAACAGGTCGATTTTTGATTTCAATTTACTATTGTTTCAAATCATAATCTAATATACAGGGTGAACCACTTTCGTGTAATGACGTGATCACCATTTTTTTCAAATGGAACCCCCCCTTTTTTTTCAATTTCCAAATTGCCTTTGCTGAGCTGATTCCAAAAATGTATAATATGTTGCTTCAAATTGGTACAGGGTGGGCAAAAATGCAAAAAAAATATGAAAATTGTTTATGGAAAGTAATACGTTACTGAATGTAATAAACAAATTAAATGGAATTATGTAGTTATGCAATTAATGTGATACACTTCCAAAAACAAACAAACGAACGAAAATTTACAATAAATGTTCAAATTGTTCTCCATTGACCGTTAGACAATGACTGAACCGGGCATTACTTTCGTCTCTAACATTCTGTAGCATAGCGGGTGTTATGCTCTGTATTTCTTGTCTGATTCGGTCTTGTAGTTGAGGGATATTTCCAGGTCTGTTGAAGTAGACTTTAGATTTTAAATAACCCCATAAAAAGAAGTCTAATGGGTTCAGATCAGGTGATCTAGCAGGCCATTCCACTGGTCCCCTTCTTCCTATCCACCTTTGTGGAAAAGTTGTCTTTAAAAAATTGCGCACAGCTACTGCGTAATGTGGCGGTGCGCCATCCTGTTGAAACCAGATTCTGCGGTCTACATTAGTGGGTATTTGAATATCAGGAAAAAGCTGGATCAGATCAGGAATTAATGTATTTTGTAGGAAATCCAGATATAATGCTCCTGTTAAGTTTTCATCGAAAAAATATGGACCAATAATTGTATTTCTCACAATACCAGCCCATACGTTAGTTTTTTGTGGTCTTTGCGTATGGTACTCTTGCATCCAGTGTGGATTTTCATCAGACCAATAACGGGTGTTTTGCCGGTTAACATGACCGTTCAAATAAAACGTTGCCTCGTCCGAAAATAAAACGTTATCAATGAAATTGTTATTTTGGTTCATCATATACTCGCAGAATTCAGTTCTTCGGTCAAAGTCGTCTTCAGCCAATTCATGGATGAGACGTACTTTATAAGGATGGTATTTTACCTTTTTGAAAATGTTTGATACTGAAGACTTTCCAATACCAAAATCCCTAGATAATCCTCGCACTGTACAGTGTGGATTTTCTACAGCCGACAAAATTATGTCTTGTTGAATATTTTCATCAATTTTTGGTCTACCTTGCCTTGCTGCATCCCTCACATGTCCTAATTCTCTCTATTTTCGCTCTATTCTACTTACCGTAGATTGTGAAATAGGTTCACGATCTGGGTGCATTTCATGGAATAATCGGCATACCTCTTGTTGAGTCCGCATCTTATCGCCAATACCAATCATCATTAATATTTCAATCCTGTCACTTTCGGTTAAAGGCATTTTGTAAAAAAAGTTCACGAACGTACCTTCTCTACAGCGTTAACAATACGAAACTGTGCTTCAATGTTTTTGACAGTGTTGTCAAATAAAAAAAACTGGTATGTCAAATAAAAAAAACTGGTAAAAGATAATGCCAAACAAAAAGATTTTTATAGTCCAGGGGCTTGGATCACTAATAAAAGCTGTAAGATACAATTATTAAGAATAATGCTGTATGTTCTTGATAGTTTATCAAAGTAGTTGTAATAACAATACGTAATTTCATTTAATGTGTTTATTACGTTTATTCGTTATTTTCATTACTTTGTAAGTAAATTTTTGCATTTTTGCCCACCCTGTACCAATTTGAAGCAACATATTATACATTTTTGGAATCAGCTCAGCAAAGGCAATTTGGAAATTGAAAAAAAAGGGGGTTCCATTTGAAAAAAATGGTGATGACGTCATTACACGAAAGTGGTTCACCCTGTATATTAGATTATGATTTGAAACAATAGTAAATTGAAATCAAAAATCGACCTGTTTTGGGAATTCCTAATTTTATTGTTCATTTAGCCAATAATGAATTTATGCGTTACTTTATGGACGCACTGTATAAAAAATTATATAAAACGTGTTATCCATGTGTGTTACTCATTGTTGATAGGTATTGAGGTTGTGTTCAAAATTTGACATTTTATTTAAGAAATTCTTGTACAAAATATATATTTTCAACAATATATCAGTATTACAACTTACCTTACAAAATCAGACGGATTATAAGAATATTAAAAATCAATTAGTACATCGGATGTACAAGATATATTAAAAATTAAAATCTACTCGATTCGTTAAAAGATTCAAATCAAATTAAATACGAACTTTTAACACAAGGCATAAACGACAAATGACATTTGAGTAGAGATGATTGTGTCAAAATAACGAATAACGGTTCCAACCGTTCCAACTTTCACTTTCAATCCATAAAACGTAATGTTAGGTACAACACTCTCAAACAGTGTGGTGGTAAAGCTAACAAATTTTGATTTAGGCTCTTGTAATAAACAAAACGCTTACGCGCATAATAACTGTAGCGGATTTCTGCAAAATTTTGAATTAGGTTTGTCTTGCAGTAAAGAATATCCTACAAGATTATTTAAGAATAGAAGAATGTAAAACATATTTTGACTTATGGTAGTCTTCATTTAAAGAGGTGGCTAGTTTAGTTACTTATAATACTTTAAAACTCAATATGTTGGTATTGTATTTCTGCATTTCAAAAGTTCAAAAAGGAACAACAATATTTTTAGTTATGTTGATGTTGTATAAGGAAAAGTATTTTCAGGAAAAATTCAATAGTAACACTTCTGTTATTTATAGGACATTCTTTCGATTTAGAGATATGTTGGTATTGTATTATCAAAGTTAGCATCTAGAACACTACAATACCGCACAAATCTCAAAATCGATAAATTTTGAGTTATGGTGGTCTTGTACTCATAGTGCGATATGCTATAATGGAAGATGAAAATCCCACTACTGATCTCTCCAATATAGATCAGTTTAAGAAACAAAATTGTACTCAAATATACAAAGTACTTTTTTCAACTTTTCACAGTATCCGAAGTAAATCCAGGTTTTATACACATTTCAATCAGATAAAGCAAATTTGGGGAAATATAAGTTTTTATTAGTCAATGTTTAACAATCAACCATCGTTCAATGTACGATGAACCAACAGGATTATGTTATCCATGATTCTCTTATTTTATTAAGAAACTGAAAGTTCCTTTTACACAGTTATTATTGTTACATTGTAAGGTGCATGGTCCTGCCGTTTTTTAAATTGGGTAATATAGCGATCTTATCTACCGCCCATATGGGCGTCCATGCTAACTAATTTAATGTATTAAAAAATGACTATTTTACGTTTTCTGCTTCCATCACCCGACATTTTCTTAATTAAGTGTGCAAACCCGAATCATCCCCACAGCTGTTATACAGAATGACTGTAAAGACAAAAGAGCGCGCATTTTTTGCTAAACACTTCAACTGGAAGAAGTTAACACACTTTTGTTTCCGTTTGTGTTGTGTTTCCTTTGTTTTTGACGCGACAATGTTGGTTGTACAAGTAAAATACGCATTCAAAGACGCTTTGTTTAAATTCCCAGTAAAGTATGATGTAGGGGAGAGAAAAACGGTATTTTATTTTTTAATTAAAGAAAGTACATATTTTATACAAACTTATAGGTGCCATTATTTTTTTTTATAAATGAACCTTTTGCATTTCCTGAAGACTAATTAAATTTTCTTTTATTGAATTGAAAAACAAAAAATGTTTGAAGTTCAAATGTTCTTAATACTGAGCTGTAGCATTTCTAAACATACTTATAAATTAAGAATGGTATTTTACTTCTCAAATGTGGCCATCTTCAATGAGAAAATAAAACTCTAAATCTATCTCACATATAAAATTTATTATTCAAAGCGGTTTAGGCTATACGAGTACAGCCATTTTCAAGCCTATAAAGAGTTGTCAAGTGTTAATAAAGGTGACAATAACTAGTAGTGTAACGACATTCATATCTAAGATCTTTGGTGGTAAATTACATACATAGTTATTGCAAACTAGCTAATTCAACCCAGGGCCGCCGAGAGCCAGGCCGGGCCCCAGTACAATTTCCTCTTCTAACAAACAAAAAAAAAAGTTCCTCAAACAAAAAGCTTTTCCTCCTCTACTTGAATTTTCTAAAAAAAAAATACAAAAAAGGTCCTCAAACAAATCCTCCTCTCGTCTTGTGCCGAACTTCTGATAGAAAACAACAAAAATCCGGTTTCCGGGTCCCCTTTATACCGCTGCCGGGCCCCCATTTGAGTCCGGGCCCCGAGAATTAGTCCCCCCCTCTAGTCGGCCCTGATTCAACCTTTTCTTGAACAAGATTCTTACATATTGACTAACGGTGGTGGTGGTTAAATGAATAACCTTAGTTATTGACTTTTTTTAGGAAATTCATGTTCTTTTTACACAACTGGTACCAATGTGTCCATGCTTCTTCGCAGGGCCATTCCTAGGGTAGCTGCCGCCCCCTTCATACCATATGAATAAGAACTATATTTACCAAATTGGAAGAAGTTACCTACTTAACTTTTAGTTAAGTCCAATTTATTAATAAGAAAAATATTAAACCATGAAATTTTATAATCAAATGTAAATCATAAAACGAAATTTAATAAACACAAAAAATATTAATAATACACAAAGGACACAGAGGTTATTTACTGAAACACCCAGATTGGAAGAGGTCATTTACTTATTCTAATCTCTGCCCTTCGTGGGTCTTAAGAGTCTGCTTAACATCAAGTCTTATTTTTATGTCAATAATAAAAAAAGGATATCTAAAAAAACTTAAGTATTGAACGTAGCCCTTATTTCCCGAGGTATTTACGGTCAATACCCAGGCCGAGACAGTAAGTACTTAAATAACAAAATTTTCAAATAGTCCTTAATTAATTAAATTATAAAATATGTTGGTAATACATAAGTTATTAATAGAAAAACTAGAACATTCTGTATGCAAAAGTATAAATAATGTCGCAAATACCTTAGAAATATTCGTTTAAAAGTGATTGTTTAATTTAATAAATCAGCAGGTACAGTACACATACGAAATCCTTATTATAATATAAAAAACCTGATAGGGTGTTCCCATTGACAACATCACCGTTGATCACCGGAGTGTAAACGTTATGGGTAAACCCAGAACTCTTAAAATATTACAAAATGTGTCTATAAATTAACTCAAATTTCCCAAACTATACAATTAATTTTCCCAAAATGTACCTAAACTAGATACTATTAACAAGAGTCATACAGTATTACGAACTCAAATAATTAAAATTCCGGTACACCAAACTATAACATAAAAGAACTCGACAATCAAAAGATGTACAATATTATCAATAATATTCAAAACATACCTTTTTCGTAAAGGGTTAAACTGGTAGCTTTCCAAGGGTGAAAAACAAGCGAGACAATCCGCAGCAATAAACTATTGAAGAATCCACTTCAATAGTACATACACAAATGCCAGAGGATCTCCCTATGAAACAACGAACTAATAACTTAAAATCTACTGAAATTAGTCATACTTACAATTTTTTGTTTTTAAATCCGTTTAGAGGGTGTGTAATGGGTTCAAGAAACATGGGAATTTTCAAAAAGTAAAAATTAAAAGAATACATGTTCATGTTGTATTTCAGATTTGACTGCAATTGTAAATAAGATAGATCGCTATTTAAAACGACTTAATTCTGATAGTACAGGAACAAATGAAGATCCTTTATGTTCAAATCAGAAACAAAATCTCGATGGTGATGTAAAGGAAGAAAGTACTGCAAAAAGAGTTCACATGATTTTTTGTCACATGGATTTTCAGTTATTGGCCAGTCAATAATCCAAAACCCCAATGTGTAATTTGTTTTGAGGTACTATCAAATGAAGCTTTAAAACCATCAAAATTTAGGCGCCATTTGGAAACGAAACATAAAGAACACAAAAAAACCAATTGATTTTTTTATACTCAAACAAAAAAATCTTTAAATTATACAAACAATCGCTAAGAATATGGTAGCTGATGCTGGTATAAAAGAAAATGCATTAAAAGCTTCATTTTAAGTTTCAAAATAGATTGCTAAATGTGAAAAGGCTCATACTAGCTGCAAAAATAATGGTTTCAACTTTAATTAGCAATAAAGCTGCCAAAGAACTTGGAAGCATCCTTTTATCGAATGATACGATCAAAAGTCATATACATGCAACGGTAAATGATATAAAAGAAGATCTGATTCTCAGAGTCCGTTCGTCTTCTCATTTTTCTCTGCAGTTGGACGAATCTACTGATATTCAAAATCAAGCACAATTGCTGTGTTACATTCGTTACATCTATGACAAATCAGTTTTTGAAGATATGTTGTTCATGTCTGGTCCAAATGTGTGGGTCTACTACTGACGGAGCTCGGGCCATGTGTGGAAAATTTAAAGGACTTTCAGCACGCGTAAAGGAAATTATGCCCTCGATTCCTTGGTTTTACCGCGTCATTCACAAAGAAGCTTTCGTTGCGAAGAAGATTCCTGATCAACTAAAAGCAACATTGGATGATTCCATTAAAGTGGTTAATTTTATAAAAAGCAGAGCATTAAATTTAAGACTCTTTAAAAACTTATGTACAAAAATGAGTAGTTCGTTGGTTGTCACGAGGAAAAGTTCTGAGCAGATTGTTTCAACTAAAGGACGAGGTCCGATTATTTCTCAGTGAGAAAAATTTCCATCTCGCAGACCGTTTCAACGATAGTAGTTGGCTAACCAGATTGGCCTATTTAGCATATTCAACCACTTGAATTTACTAAACCTTAATTTACAAGGAAATAAAATTTCAAAGTTTCAAGTTGAGGATAAGATTAAAGCAATCATAAAAAAGTTGGTTTTGTGGCTGCACTATGTTAGAAAAAATAAGTTTGATTCTTTTCTCAAATTAAATTTTCTTTAGAAGAAAATTAGGAGACTCTACTTGATTGTGATAAATCACTCTTTTTGCAGCATTTGGACTCATTAAAAATCACATTTCGTGAGAATTTTCCTCTGCCAACAGAAAACAATGCATGGATTAGAAATTCATACCCAATTGCAGTTAAATCAGGAAATGAAGGTCTAACAGCACCAGAAGAAGGACAGTTCATAGAACTGTCAACTGATGGTGATTTAAAAAGTAAATTCGATCAGCTTGTACTCGAAGATTTTTGGGTATTTGTGAAAGATTCATATCCGGAACTGTCAAACAAAGCCTTGAATTTTTTGATCCCATTTTCTACTACATACTTATGCGAAACTTCATTTTCTGCATTAATGTATATAAAAAATAAATATAGAAATAGTTTGAAAAACATTGAACAAGAAGTAAGGCTGAAATTATCCAAAATTAAACCTAATATAGACAAGCTTGTCCGAGAAATGCAAGCTCAAGGATCACATTAATTTTACAAAAATTATTATAATTAATACTTGTTCTTTAAAAAATATAACATCTTTTAATGTTTTATGTCAATAGGGCCGCCAACTTTATACAACGCTGATCAGGGGCCGCGCGGAAAATAGGTTGAGAAGCACTGGTCTACTGCATTATTCAAGAATTTTCAGCAAAATATTTAAAATGTACTAGATTTAGACACTTTTAACTTTTGTAACATTTATGAATGGTTGAAATGTACTGAATATATTCAAAAGTTAAAAGTGTCTAAATCTAGCACTGGTCGCGCCTTGCGAAATGTGTTTCATATAATTGCATATATTCAGACGTGAAGAAACCGTTCTTGGTCTTCTTTGCTGTCGCTTCTGCTGTCGTATGTCGTTTGTTGCGCGTTCCGAAATGGTACCTTTTTAGGTAAAATACTGTTTGATGAAACATATTCATACAGTTAAGAGTATACGAGTCTTTCTAAAGACTCTTTAGCCATATATAATTCGTTTTATATGAAGATAACTTACTACCGATGGTCATAGCTCTCTCTTTGATAAAGTTTGCATTTATTTTAATGATCTCGTCTCCACTTGTTTATTTGTATAAATATTTTAATTTTTACTTTCCTATCTATATACACATAGGTAAGGAAAGTATAGGAATCACGATTTTTGCAACCTCGAGTTTTCGACGGATTTTTACGTTTTGGGGTCCCATGAATCCGTTTTGAATATTTTCGCGATTATGTCAGTGTACTTTATAAGGGCTCATTTTTATATTTTATAAAATATATCTTATTTACGTTTAGAGAAGAAAATTCTTTAAATAAAAGTTACTTCTTATATTATTATTTATAATATAATCTGTATAATTTGTAATTCTCTATAATTTTAGTCCCATACATAATTTCTCTAAAATGGGCCGTATTTGAGATATTTGTGAAAATGTAAAAAATTCTGATTTTTAGGAAAATTGTTGAACTAAAAGATGTTTGCGATATGGATCTCTATAATTTTTGTTTTTTACATGATTTCCCTAAAATGGACCGTAATGGAAAAATTGGAGGAAAAATATAAATTTTCAATTTTTCAGCAGTTTTGTTGGCAATGAGTTTATATAGAAAAATGTTTCGAGTTAGATGTATGTGGAAAATGTATATATTAAGTTAACCTCTTAATATTTAGAGAGGTGCTACAATAGGTTGTACAAAATAACCGAAGAAAGTTTGTAATTACTAGATAGGAAAGTCATGTGTTGGACACATCAGATTTTCAGTTATATTTTTTATTTTCAATGTTTTTGTCATCTTTCATGTTAAAAAACATGTAACTATCTTTCATACATGTATAAACAGATACGATACTTACCTAATAGTTAAATACCTAATTGAAAAGGGACACGGAGACAGACAAAAAGACAATAAGGTACATTTGGGTAATATGGCCCGGGGGAAAATATGGCCCATGGGATATTTTTGTGTTATGTAGCGCCATCTCTTTACGAGTAGTGAAAGTTTAGAAAGTTATATCTCTACAGAGACCATTACGACGTTGCAACACGTGGTCATCTACCGTTGAAACCAGTTCGACGTGCCTTGCTGTTTTACCGGTGTTTTCTTATAAATTTAGGCAATTTTTAATCGCGAATATTTCGAGTTACGTTAAAAAAAAGAGGTAGGTGTTTATTTATTTGTTGACTTTATAGTTACTTGTATTCCATTTCGCTATTGGACTTAAAAAATTAAATTCCAATGTGACTTACATAACCTTAAAATTGCAAAACGAGTCAAGCGGAAATATGGCCAAGATAGTGGACCATAACTGGAATGAAGAGATGATGAGTGAAGCTCTAGACCTGCTAAAGAAAGGTGTGTCACAGAGAGAAGTTGAAAGAAAATGTGGAATTCCCCGAACCACTCTTCGAAATCATTTAAAGAGTGGAAGTGCGAAAAGACGATTGGGCAGAAGGAGCATACTGACGGAGGAAGAAGAACGGGAACTTGTCGGTCGGATTGTAAGACTAGCAGAGATCGGCGTACCTCTAGTACCAAAATCCTTAAGAAGAATTATTTTTCGGTATTGTATTGATAACAATATACCCCATAAATTCAACACTGAAAAAGAAATGGCAGGATATGATTGGTACAAATCATTTTTAAGAAGAAATAAAACCCTCTCACAGAGAAAGTCTCAAAATTTAAATCCCGCCCGAGCGCAAAAATTAAACCCAGTTATTGCTAGAGATCACTTTACTAAACTAGATAATATTTTAACTGAATTAAGCATCAAGGATTCCCCAGAACGAATCTTCAATATTGACGAAAAGAGATGTCGACTGGCTTTACATCACAATCAATCGGTGTTAGCTAAAAAGGGATCTCGCCGCGTTCATTTAGTGTCCAATGAGCATGCAGAGAACTGCACAGTAGTAGCTTGCGTTAGCGCGTTGGGTCATGCTGTTCCTCCAATGATCCTGTTCAAAGGGTCTAGATTAAAGGAAGTCTTTAAGGAACATCTTCCACCTGGTTCCACAGTTGCCATGACGGAAAAAGGTAGCATGACTAGGAAGAGATTTGTTCAGTGGCTACGTCATTTTTCTAAATTTAAGCCAGCAGGGCGAGTTTTGTTGATCCTAGACGGCGCCTCCTGTCATCTGGACCTTGCAGTCGTGGACACAGCAAACCAGTTTGATATTTCTTTGTACTGCCTCCCATCAAACACCACCCACGAATTCCAGCCATTAGACAAAGCAGTTTTTAGAGCTTTCGAATATTATTGGGATAATGAACTTTTGCGCTACTGGAACGACAATCCGTCTACCATAAGGAAGTTAGAAAAAGAAAATTTTGGGAAAGTTTTGAGTCCAGTTTGGAAGCAGTGCATGAGTATTTCCAATATACAAAGCGGATTTCGGTCCACAGGGATCTTTCCTTTTGATCCAACAGTAATTCCCGAAACAGCATTCGCACCATCGGAGTTGACATTTAGAGAAATTAATCCGGAGCCAAACCACGATGCTGATTCTTCCGACGATGACCTTTCTCTAAATCTATTAGCTAAGAAATTAAATCAAACAAGTAGCCCAAAAGTAGGATGTTCACATTGGACCGAACCATTAAAAAAATAATAAGCTTTAAAAAATCCCAAAATAAACATTTTAGATGTCAAAATAATCCAGCCAAGAAAAAGAAACCAAGAAAATTGCACAACTTTTACCAACTCCGGACTTTATTATAAAAAGACAAACAACTCCAAGGCGAAAGGCAATGAATTATAAAGCTCAAGTGCTAAAAAGAGATCTATTTTTCGAAAAAGTTTCATCTGGTTTGACAAAAAACAAACTTCAAACAACTGCTAAGCACTCGGCTAAGCAGAAAAACATATCAGACATCAGCAACTGGATGTGTACAGTATGTAATGTGGCTCGTAAACTCAGGCCATATTTTCGTCCTTCTGTTTCAATGTGGGCCTTAATAGCCTTAAAGGCGAAAATATGGCCCACTTTTGCAGTTTTTAAAAAAACCAGATTATATTTAAAAAGAGTGACTTGTTGCATTTAGAATGTTTTGTTTGAGTTTGTTGTTTGACTAGTTATTTTTTTATGATAAAATGATTTTTACAATAAATATGTTTTTTGTTCTATGGGTCAAAAAATTGAAAATGGGCCATATTACCCCAAGGTACCTTACAAGCACTTCGCCTAGCTCATAGTTTGATTTCGTCAATCTAACAGTTTTGTATTATATTAATTAAAAAATGTAGATTAATTACTAAATTCAGAATAAACTAAAATTGAACTCTTTAAATAAAAATTTGTATTTTATCCAGAGATACACATTTCAAATTTGAAGTTTAATCAGTAAAATAAAATACTGTAATAACAATAAACAATTAATTAATAATTAATTTAGATTAATATTTACATTTATGTTTATATAAATTGATGCACTTTACAAAATTAAACAACTTTATTATTCCATCAAATTCAGGATGAATACAATTTACTAAAAGTATATGAAAAACTATTTGTCAACTAACGAATGTTTAGAATTTTTTGAATAAAAATATTGGTTCGTTTTTATGTTTGTAATGGACAGAATGGATACCTTATTATATTTTCATGATTCCATCATTAGACCATTAGACATCATATTTTCGTTCTGTACCGTTTCAATGATAAGTTATTCGATTTTGGATTTTTGGAGAATTGGCATTTTTTTGTAATTGTTAGTGGGTTTTATGATTGATTTGAGATTACGATTATGAGATGAATAAGATTAAAAAAAAAAATAAAACTCACGGCATTTAGGGTTTCGTACCATCGTACAAGATTTGGTACTATGTAGGTACTTTTTAAATAATTTATTAAGATCGAGCAAAAAAAGCCAAAACAAAAATCACGTTTCTAGTAGGGGAGCCTTAATTTTTAATTTATTTTTATTATTTGCTGTTATAGCGGCAACGAAATATACATCCTGTGAAAACTTTAACTATCTACCTATAACAGATCATGAGATATAGCCCACGGACAAACGGACAGCCGAGGCTTACTTATAGAGTACCGTTGAAACCTCAAAAAAGACAGAAAGAAGGTTTTATTTAAAACAAAGATATGAAAATAAAATGCAGGAAGGTAACGATTTGAAATTAGTACCATTATCGGTTACAAAATACCGTTGTATCCCAAATTGTGAGAAGATTTGTCTGCAGGCTTTAATCGTTGTTTCAGCCGTCATATCATGTACTAGCCTGACTTCTGGCCATTTCGTATAGTAATCTACGAGGATTAGTAAATAAAATCCGCATACTGGTCCAGCATAGTCAGCAAAGTAATGTGTAGAGTAAAGTTTTTGTGCAGCGATTTGTGAATTATGAGTAAATTTCTTTTACTTATTTATAAAGTGTTTTTTTTTTTTATAATAATTAATTGATTTACATATAAATGCCAATTTTACATTTTCGTCCAGATTATCATATTTATATAGTACATATTTTTATATTATTATAAAGTTTTCCAG